TCTATATTTTGTCTTCTCTACTGGACTAATTTACATGTTTCTATTCTAAAATTTACAAATAAATCTTAATTATCTCCATTGGTGTTGTTACCAATGGAGATAATTAAGATTTATTTATCTCCATTGGTGTTGTTACCATTCTTATAATTTGTGTGATTGGATATTTTGTAAGTGTTGAAAAGTTTATTCATCTGAAAAAAATTACTTTTGGATAAGTTCAGAATGTTGTTATGATTTTTATACAACTTTTATTTTTATTTTTATTCCGCCCTCCTTCGATGATCTTCAAAAAGATAAGTATGCAAAATAAGGAATTAAAAAAAGTCTTGCCAACAGTGATTGTTTAAACTACTGGTTACAGTTCTTATGACAAATGCTGACAGGGCAAAATTTAGCAATATTCCTGGTACAAGAAGTCATATATGTGTTATTTTCACTTTTTTATTTCCATAGATAATATATGATATATATACTTTCTGGGAAATTACAGTAAATATATAGTGTGATGCAATTGAGACCATACATGACCATGCAATATAAACTTTCATAGTAAATATTATGTGTACCTGCCATGGAATCATGGATTTGTTGACCTATCCAGTATATTTAGTAGAACTAGCCAAAATTGTTTTACATCCTCTGATAAGAAACATAATCAGCCAAATTCACCACAAATAATGTTGAATCTATGGTTTAACCCTCATGGTTTATGCTATTTTTGGAGCTTATTTTCCCAGGGTCTTTTAACTTTTTATAGCACCTGGATATAAAGGGTAAATAAATGGCATCAGGGATTTTGTATCAGTATATCAGTTGATGTATGCTAAATTGTTTTGGGGTCATGCTTTTGATACTGTGGCAGTATCCTTACATACCTTAGGCTGTTAGATTAGCTAGCTGATGACTTGCGTGATTAACATAACATCACCTAAAACTTAAACAAATATTTTTTAAATTTTTTCTTGTTTTCATTGTTCACAGATATATTTAGTCAGTTTAATTACTAATTATAAGCAAACCATTATAATCATTAAACTTTCCATATTATAGTCATTGAGATGTTGTTAATTCAATTAACTTTACATTGTTTATTAAGCAAGCTGTGCTTGAGTTTATAAGTGAGGAGTGAAATTTCTTCTGTTGCCAATTATGGGTGTGGTCCTATTGTTGTCAAATAGGATTGTGGTGTTTTGAGCAGTGGTGATTATACATTCAAGGGTGGGGTGGAAATACGAAGTACAATCTAATTACGATGATAGAATGGTTGTATTGGTCATTAAAATGAATGATTAGTATGTATAATAATAACATCACAGTCCGTAGTTCGAATCTTGTAATTATAGCACTTTAGAAAATATGTATTTTAGTTTAGAAAGGCACTACAAATGACAATGATTAATTATTATTAATATACTAATTGCATTACATTTTGAAGTTTGTTGATTGCCTACTTTTTGTGATTGCAAGTTAGGCTTAAATCAATTTTTTACTTTAAAATGTTTCAATTTTATTTTATATCATAAAAAATACATATTTGGGCCATGCTGCTTATAAAAATTTATGTAGCCAGAGCATAATTCTATTGTTATTAAATGAGGAATTGTAAAAATTTAGGGGTTCAGACAGTGGCGTACAGTAAAACGTCCATTTTCCGAACGTCTATTTTTCGAATAGTCGATTTTACAAATGGTCCTTGCCACTGATGACGTCATCACCGATCAATTAATTACCGTAAAAAAAGCCTGATTGTGTACGTTTTACAAAGTGATAAATGTATATTTTTCTTGGTAAAATTAAGTTTTTATTTATTAATAGTTTTATCTTTTCTTCCATTTCTGGTGTAATAATCACTATAATGTAATAAACCTAACCAGAACAACGAACTGTACCAATGCAAGTGTCGTCGGATTGAACTAACATGTTTACGATGACGAACGAGAGTGTTGGGGTCACAAACTTATTGACATCGTGAATGCTAGATATTATCGCGAAATGCATAAACAATTGATATGCTGCGATCTAACAACTAGAAAAAACACGATAGAAAGGTCCATAAAACATACAGATGTTTGAATAAGAGTTAAAAATCATTTTAAGTGGAACAATACCAGCGATTAAAGTAATTTGGTTTTTATCGAAGGTAAATTCAGCTACGCTCCATGCGCGATAGACCACGTTGCTGCACTGTTCGTTTGTGCTAGGCTGGTTGCCGTCGGCTTATCGGCGCTTAATGGCAGACGATAGCTAGGCTTAGGTATTGGAAACTGACACCCGATCTAGTTTACAAATTTTTCAATTTACGAACACCCCTTGGTACCAAGGGGTACGTAAAATAGACGTTTTACTGAAGTCTTGAAATGGGGGTGCTGATAGGGGGGTGCAAAGGTAAAGTTGGAGGGGCTCGATGATCATTTAAGGGGCGCTACTTCACAAAATAAGGTGATTTAGGTAATTTTTAACTTCTTGACCGTGATTATTTTGGGGGAGTGGGGCGCAAGTAATTTTGGGGGAGGAGATGGCCCCCTTTCCCCTAGATATGCCACTGCGTTCACAGCAATTTTCTTGAAATAATTCTTAATGTGTCTTAAATGTAGCATAATCTACCTAGTGGCATCTACTGCAGAAAGTAAAGAGTCCAAACTCTTAAAAAAGGTTTCTCCTTCACCAATATCCAGTGAGATCTTGCTACTGGCTGAGCAAAAAATTTATGTTCAGCTTATTACAGGGGTGTATACAGGATTTTTTCTGGGTAGGTCGTGATCATAAATTTTTGGACCTTTTCACAATGAAATAACAGCAAGATGTAATAAACACCTCATCAATGCTTTTTCATTTATGTCATTGTGAAAATTCCCTAGGAAAAAATGTCTTTGGAAAAAATGTGAACCTTTGAAAATTGTTTGGGGGGGTCGTGCGACCTTCCCGACCCCCCTTGCATAGACCAATTTGTTATCCCCACTTTCCCGACACATTTCCTATCAGACCCCCCTCTCCATATGATACGCTTCTAATTTAGCGCCGATGGAAAGAGTTTGATTGGTTTTTATGCATAATCAAAATAGAGTTATCTTGTATAATCTTTACAAGTAATTGAATGTGGGGAAAAAAAATGCTAAGTCATAATTCACCATGGTTATTGGCTGAGCAGTGTATGATTAATAAGTGCTTTTTCTTACCTGGATAAACTGACTAGTATTAATGTATTTTGCTTACAGTAGTAGTATACAGAAATCAGGGGTTTTTTTTAAAAATTCATCAATTGCCAATGAAATGAGAACGCATCTTCCCGGAATTAATCAGCGGGATATATTTATTGTATGCTTTCTGATTTTTCATAACACACAAGCCTGATATTCATGATTATTGTAATTTAAAATATGTTGCTTTGAGGTTGAATTGAACCAGACAAGAGTAGAAATGGAATTGGTAATAATTGCCTAACAAGGGGTAAATAATAATTGTAATATTGGTGGTGTATTGGTTCTAGTATTCAAGTATATTTTATTATATAGGGTGTTGATGGAATCTGTTACATTTTACCAGGGTCATAGTTTAATAATGATTTATTTTATGTCTTAAATTTGACCAAATTAATTCTAGATTTATGATTGATAATGTAATTAGAAAGTTGTTATTCAGAACATCTAGAAAACCTTGTGATAGTATTTGAATCAAACTGGCAATATCTACTTTTTAGGGGGAAAAAATCAGCTAAGTATGGTAACTCGTGTTGTAGACAATGGCAGAACAAGGATTATAAAAAGTCCTTGGGCAGATCAAGGGGCAGGGCCAATCGGAGTGTTCCAGCTAGGCCTGGTTCCAGCTAGGCCTGGTTCCAGCTAGGCCTGGTTCCAGCTAGGCCTGGTTCCAGCTAGGCCTGGTTCCAGCTAGGCCTGGTTCCAGCTAGGCCTGGTTCCAGCTAGGCCCTGGGGTCGGACCCGCAGTAAAGTGTGTTGGCAAAAAATATTTGAAGCCTTTTCTTAGCCTAGGCTAGCCTGAGAATGACATTTTGAGGTATCTAGAGGTGATGTGCCTATAAACCTGGTACAGTGTTGCTGAAGTGGGGTATGGCTCATCTATTTGAAACAGTGGACCACCTGTTTTTGAAATGAAGATGCTGTTGCTAGGCATATTGAAAAAAAAATAAGGATAGAAGTGGGTGTGGCCACAGTCTCAAAGTTGAATAATATGTAGAATTATCAATTGTTTCCAATTTGAGTAAAAAGGTCAAATCTGGTTTACTATATGTGGCAAAGACAAGCCAAACCAGTCACTCATCGCAAATAGTGTTTCAGAAAAAATGGTCAAACATGCTGGAATGTCAAATTTTAAAAAATATATTTTATTGCACTAAACTAACCTTTATATCATGCTATGCTGTTATTTTCCCCATTTTCAATGTTATAACAACACTTATAAGGATTTGATGATAGTTTCTGCAATAGAAATGCCCTAAATCATAAAAAAAATGGAGGATGATTTCTCATATATTGTTCTTTAATGCTGGAATGTCAAATTAAAAAAAATATATTTTATTGCACTAAACTAACCTTTATATCATGCTATGCTGTTATTTTCCCCATTTTCAATGTTATAACAACACTTATAAGGATTTGATGATAGTTTCTGCAATAGAAATGCCCTAAATCATAAAAAATGGAGGATGATTTATATTGTTCTTTAAATAGCTGCATATTTAAATGCTTGTAACCTCATAAGGAAATGTTGGATTTGAATGTGATTTTTTTAAACCATTTTATAGCTCTTATTCTACTCTTTAACCGTGTTTAGAAACTCAAAATTGATTTTTGCGACGAGTGACTGGTTTAGCTTGTCGTATGCCACATATTGCTATGAAAAAATGAAAACTTGACTGCCATGACAGAGTGGTTTATATCATCAGACAACTTGCAGTTTAAGGGCTAGAATACAGTAGTATGAATTAAACAAACCAAGATAACCAGTTAAAAGTTTTCAATATGTACTTCTATTTATTTCAGATTGAACTGTGAATGATGATATAATTTTACTTTTCGAAAACTTCTGGCTGTGAAATTTTGGCAATATATCTTGGTTCTCATACAAAATTGTAATTTAGGAAGTATGACTGAAGGAATCCTATAGCTGTGTAAAACGGTTAAAACAACGCAAACCCTGGAATTTGGGATGAACCAAAACGGCCATTTCGTCGGCGAGAACTTGTTTGAGGACCATGAACATTTTACAGCTTCCACAGCCGAGCTTAATCCGCCTTACTCACAACGTTTGGTGAATGGACACATAGAGCTCCAGCCGCCAGTGGCGCATTCTCATTCGTACGTGCAAAGGTCAATGTATCACGTTGATAATTACAATGGGAGCAATGTAACGATTGCTGAAGATTTGCGAAACCGTGAGTATAGTTATTTCAATATAGAATTTTGTGTGCTCTACAGTAAATGAATAGAACTGCAAACTTTCATACCTTATTTTACTCCTTATTATTTATTTGAGTAATGGAGCAGGAGCCTTCTCCATTATTTTTTTTTTCTTTCTGTATGTGTTTCAAATACAAAAACAATGAGAAAATGATGTACATGCATGGAATGTTCACTTGCTGAACACAAATTGAATAAACCATAATAAAATAGATTTTTCGATAGCTCCAGCTGTCTTTATCAACCTTAAAGTGAGTAAACTTGGAAGATCTAAAGCCCAGCTGAGACAGCGTTGTACAACACAGCCCGACGTAATTTGTTGTCGCGTCGGATCTGTGTGAGATGTGGTAGGTTTGTATCAGGGACAGTCGCGTCATAGAATATTAAGCATGTTTAATATTCTAACGGCAGCCTAAAGAGTAAGACTGTCCCCTATGATAAACTGCGTCGGATTGCATCGTACAACGCAGTCTGTTTTGGGCTTAAAATAGTATAAAAGTATAGTATTGGTTGTTAGCTAATGATGATATACAACATAGCAAGCATTTCAAATGCTGTTAATGGTTACTTTTTAGCTTTAGCTAGTCATGAATGTTTAGAGGCATGAAATTTACTGATACTTAAAATGGGGTTGGGGCTTTGCTTCCCCGACTGGGAGGGTCTATAGCCCCCAGCCCCCCTCTGTTTATGCCGCCTTATCAATCTACTCTGTTAGGTTTAGACAGCTCATAGACTTCACAGATGACTATCTGAGGTACTATGAGCAGCAAATCAGTTTAATGTCGTCGTACAAACACGATACACCATTCATTCACCTATTACTGTATTGTTTATTATATCATTTTAGTCAAACAAATCCTGTTTTCATAAAAACAAATGACATACAGTAATCCTGCATCTCTCTCTTCTACTCACTCATAGACTTTTTAAGAAAAGAATTTTAAAACATTAAAAAAGGGCAGATTTAGCATCCTCCACTCTTGGAAAGTTTAAAAAAAAATAAAAATAGATCACCCAAAATGCTTCAGAAGTTATTTTCGGGCATCTAGAAAACAAAAATTTGTGAGGCATGCCCCCTGACCCCTTAGGGTGGTGTTATCTCGATCGTCCCCCCTCCCCCCACTTTCAGACCCCTTTTCGAATATCTCTGGATCCACCCTTGTAGAGTGCTTTTTAGCTGGCAAAAAAGTGTAAATAGTCAACAGCTTTTTTCTTCTTAGGGGTGGGGAAGGGTCATTCACGAGAATAATGTTCGGGCTATATATATTGTTGGCTTTTAAATCGCTCAGAAGATAGGAAGGTGACAAGACAAAAGACGGTTCTCCTAGTCATTTAAACTTATTTCATTCATTCTTTCATCAAAAATTATTTCATTCATTTTGCAAATAATCTGGCCTTTAGTCTCGCTAAAGGCCGCCGAAGGCAGCCTTTTCGCAAGTTTAACTACCTTTGTGAACATCATGGTTTCGTTTTATTGTAATAAAAAAATAAAAGTTGTTAAAAAGTCAGACAAAAGCAATTTCAATCAAACAATAGAGCCATGCTCATTAAATTTTCTACAGAAAACCATGCATATTTCTGGAGGAATCGTTCTACGAATAATACCAGTGGCATTATAATTAAAGGGAGGGAGATCATGAAAATAAACCTGTGGCAAATCAAAAACAATGTCATCCTTGCTTCCTTGAATTTGCCCACTTAATGATGCTACAGAATTTTCAGTGTAGCTGTAGTTGTGTACTGATTTCATGTACTCGATAATTACAATCAGGGACAGTGATGTACAATAAAAATCTTTGTTAAAAACCAGAAGAAAATCAGCAAACTTACTTAAAAAGTGGAGTTCCGTTGAAACAGCCTAAAGGTACCTGGTTCCAAACCTGTAACGTTAGGCATTTGAGGCTTGCCATCTGAAAACCAACATTGACAAAAAAAAATGCAAATTAACTTTTTAATGTACTCCTATTCCCTACATTGTCAGCTTTAAAATAATGGGCCATTTTAAACTGGAATCGACTTACTACTGTATTGCCAAAATTATGAGTAAAAGTATTATAGCTTCTCTGTCATACTTCAATATAATATATTTCTTGATTTCTCGATTATCTTGATTGTATAATGATTTTGTTACCAAATGTCCTGAAGTTGATATTTTTTCCAATTCTTTAAATATGTTTAAATGTCACTTTAATAATTATATTTCTCATTAGTGCTGTATGTGTTTAGTGTTATTTGTAAATTTTTTAAATTTTTAAGTATAATTTTTATTGTAATTTCAAATACTTTTTTGTAATTTATACATTTTATTTGTAAATACTGCAATAATAATTATAATATAAATAATAATAATAATAATAATAATAATTTTATTTTTTATGTCTTGTGAATTTATTATACTGATTTATTATATTTTCTATATATTTTTATTACAATTTTCGCCTGTAAGTGGGAACGAAGAGTTCCTATTGGACGACTGAAATAAAATAAATAAATGAATAAATAATACTGGCACATTTTTATGCTAATTACTCAGTTTAACATATAGCGACAGTAAGCTGGTTTTGGAATGGCATGCTTCATTTGGATTTACTGTATATTATAATACTCTCCAGATCATCATCGTGGAAATCACTCAAAAGTTAGAGGATCGGCTTTTTTGATTTTGGCTTATACCCAAGGACTATAGTAATAACACATTGTCATAATTAACTTTTACTTTATGAACCATTCAATGACAGAATCCCATCATAATCTCATATCACATAACATCAATGTAGGGTGTATCACTGTTGGGCATTCAAAGAATCAATAGACCAATTAGAAAAACAACATTGACAATTGAAGCCTGCACATGAATTGTCAAGCCTTTTGATTGGTATAAACAATCTGGCTGTGGGAAAATTGGTGCGTGGGAAAATTTCACGATGTAGGTCAAACAGAAACGGCACAATGACTCATGATAATGGCGCATGTTCAGCAGCGACAAGATCAAATCCTTAAAGAACCATTGTGGGACTATAAAAACACTCGCCAAATTTTTCTTTTTTTTTTTTCCATGTTTGAATGAATTTTATTGCTGTCGTCGGTATTTGGTCGCAATTTTTTGTATTATGTTTAAATTAAAGTTTTTTTTCACAGCCGAACTGTATAATAAAAGCTCAGTAAATTTTATAAAGCCAGCCTTGTTAATACAAGTTTATTATTGAAAAGGAGAAACTGTAACAAGAAGACTCATAAAGGAACAAATGACTTCATGTAATTGAGAGTGTAATGAAAAGGCTTTTCGATGTTGGTATTGTTTGATGAACTGTAGTTTAGTTTGATTCTGTTCATGAACTTTTAACTGTAGTGGTACTACTAGGCCCATATTAAGGTCAAATACAGGTACAGTAAGTGGGTCTGGTTAAATATTACAGTACTAAACAGTGAACACACTTTCAATTCTTCTAGGGACATATTTAAGCAGGAACTGCTTCTCGATCATGTTTTGTTTACGTAGCAGTACTTGTAGTAACTGTATACAGTTTGTGTGTCCATTAGGGGCTATACATTGATCAGGTTTCCTGGTACTGTATTAAATTTAAATCATGAGTGAGAAGCATACATTGTTTGAGATGCTTTAAATTTACAATGTGAAACTAACCTGTGTTTCATTGAGCTCATTTTTGAAAGCTAATTGATGTGGCCATATAAGTTAAGTATACTTCGTGAATAGGGAATTCATAATATTTATTTCGATAATAATTGAAATTTTCAATTAGTTTAATGATGTAATTAATAATGTTAATTATATTTTTGTAGTCTTTTCTATAATATTTTTTAAATTTCGAAAGATCCACTGATCAATCTCGGGTAAGAAAGTATTTTGACATTAATTATGTCATGATGATGATGATGAAATATTGAATCCCAACATCATTTGAGAGACTTTACAGTGTCATTAATGCCGTAGCCAGCTATTGGGACAGTTAGGACAGTCCCACACAATTTTACTATTGGGTCCACAAAGAATTGGTCCACATTTTTAAAATGGGTCCAGATTTCTCATATTTTGTGTAAAATGGTCCAACTTTTAAGAAAATGGGTCCAAATTTCTCATAGTTTACATAAAATGGGTCAATTTTTTAAAGAAAATGGGTCCAGATTATTCATATTTTCGCGTAAAACGGGACAACGTTTAAGAAAATGGGTCCACATTATTTGAATTTACTCGTAAAGTGGGTCCATCCTGATATTGTCCCACACTGTTTGAAAATTCTGGCTACAGCATTGAGTGTCATGAAATGTGGGTGGGTAGAGTAACATCCCCATATATAGTAATTTAACAAATTCAGAGACTTGAATGATTTGGTATTAGAAAGGTTGGGTTTGTATTCATATTTTAGAGGTTCATATTGGGAGATATTTTTTCTTTTTCAGTTATTAATTGGTTTTAAAGGGTAAAGGTCAAGGATGCCAAACAGCGGACTTAATCACACAAAATGCTCTATATAAATTAAGTCTTATTATGAGGCTTACAGTAGTTGCGATACCGTGACAGGATTTGAACCCATGACTCGTAAGACTGAGAGGCAAGCATCATAACCACCAGACTATTCAGCACAATATTAAATATATTTTCATGAATTTAAACAACAGTAGGATCAATATTGTTTAACCAGAATCAAGATTCTGAATCATGATTATTGATGTACGTTCCACTTCAATGAATCTGTTGGTGTTATTATTATTGTGTGTGTGTTAATGTACTGTACACATCCTGAGGCCAACAGTAAATAGATAAAATAAAAATGAAATCGACATTACAAATTGACAATGTGAAATGTTACCCTAAAGGCAATCTTTATACCTGCTTCAAGAGCACTTGAACTGTATCTGACTATGGATTGTCTCCAACAGGTAAACACTGCTCAGACGGATCAAACAAGCAAAACTAAAAAAAAAAAAAGAGTGGTTTGAATGATGCAGAAGTTCA